GCAATGCGCCGGATAGAATGTGCCGCGGCCGTTTCCGCGGGAAATTCAACGCCGACGATCGGGCTCCCTCAGAAAAATCGAGGATCTCGCGGGTTGATCTCGAGATTTCGCTTTGAATATTTATCAGCGCGGAGCAGGGAAGCTTCGAAATCATTTCGTCGAGGAGAATTGGTCTTTGTAGGATTCTATGGTTGAGAATCGTTGGAAATTGCACGAATGGGCGAACGAAATTCGGAATGACGGTTGGAAGATATTATTTTTAAGGTGGCCGAAGTTAGAGGGAACGTTCCAGATCTGGTTTAATGCCTCGTAACGATGTTAATTAACAGAGGGAAGCCAACGTTAGAGTGTTCTGGCTTCGATTATTTTAGATATGTATCATAAATGCAAAGAACTGCTCGCAAAGACCGCGGTCGCGTTGCTTCGGACACGTGAATGTTCCTCTAAGCCATCTAAATCTTTCAGCAGTCCTCATTTATCACTTCCAACGATCTTAATTTCTGGCACACACCTAGCGTCGCATTCCTGCAACCTGATTTAATCCAAGACTCCGCTGTAAAAGGAAGAATCGATTAAAAAAATTCCTCGCCGTCCCGCGAAATCACCTCGCCCCGAATCCGTCATTCAAAGATTGTCATCTCCGGGAACTTTGTGTATTTATAGCGTAAAGAAACGGGCGACAGCGATATTCAACTACGGAACCGGTTGAATTTCAATAACGAATCAATTTTCAATTGGAAACCCGTCGATGCCGAAACTCCTCGGCGATCTCGACAATAAAATCGAAAGGGATCCCGGAAGAACCGCAGTCCGAAAAAAGAAAATAGCCGAGTAGCTTTCCAGGTCGATCGAGCAGCATGCTCCGCGAAGCAGATTTCGATTGCAGAGTAGCCCACACAGGTCTGACTTCGCAGGGTTGGCCAACAAAAGGGAAGAAATCGAAGAATAGCCGCAAGAAGAAGAACAAGCAGAAGAAGAAGGCACAGAGGAAGGAAGCGGTTATCATAGAAAACAAATAGAAAATACCATAGCCAGTGTTGCGCCAGCGAGAGGACAACGAAGAAGAGTTTACCAGAAGAAGAAGAAGAAGGAGAAGAAGAAGAAGATCGACCACGAAAAGGAAGAAGAACACCGCGAAAGAGAAGTAGGAGAGGGCGAAAGAAGATCGTTCCGTGGCAGAAGGAGAGAGGGGAAAACGCAGAAAGAGGTGGTAGGGAGGTGGGACGGGGTTCGAGAGGGGAAGGGAGAGGGCAAAGAGGGAACCGGGAGAGTATAGAGGTATATGAGAAAACAATAGAGCTGATTTGCAAACAATAGAATAACGTTAAGAGTCGAGTATTATACGCCGTTGTTACTTCTTGTGCCATAACGCCGGAGAGCATATGCCCATTAATATTCAAAGGCGAAAATAATGTAAACGACACGACAAAAATCGGGGGAATAATTTCAATTCTCCCCGTATGGGATTCCAGCGTGGCGATACACCGAGCCGGGAGAACCTCCCGGGCCATTTCGTGTCTCCTCCGGACCGACTCGACCGCCGCGCCGCCGCGCATATACGTGCATCCGTGCACACGCGTGCACATTAAAGGCGCAGGGTACTTGTGCGCGCGCCACCGGTTCGTCGGTTCCCCCCTTTCGTTTCCCGTTTCGCGGGATGCACGCCGTTTCCCGTAAATTTTCCTTTCGGCCACCGTTACTGCCATTGTTTACGTCACGATGAACATTTTTTTTTCACGATCCGACCGCGACTGTAAAATGATGACCCCGAGGTGACGGAGGGCCTCTTGATGTCTTCATCGTGGATTCTGTGGGCCAGACGCCGCGGGAAGGGTAATCGCGAAAGTGGCGTCTTTCCGGGAGATTGGAAGAATGTTGTTTCTCGGCCAGTGTTTGTTAGGCGAGTGTTGGAAATAGACGGCGGATCAGGTTTTTCAAATGATTCGATTTCAATTAGCGAATGCAATGTTTGTTCTTGGATTTTATAGTAGTGTACAGTTAGCGATCGGTGGGTATAAATGCTAGTGTAATATTGAATACCATAAGTATTAAATTAGTTGAATGTAAATAGTAAATTAAACGTTCCTGATTGAAAGTATAGATTCTAAAGTAGGTCTTGTACTATGGGTGTCGATTAAAATTACGTCTGACTAATGGAAGTCGCTATTCATTTGTAGACTATTTCTGTTGCGCAAGGTATATAGATTAATTAAATGGAAACCGAACGAGATCGAACCGACGATGCGAAGTCGAATAGAATTTTTGGAGCAACGGATCGGGGGAAAACTGGTGGGACGTTCGAGGGCGAACGGTGAATCACCGGCACGTTTTGATGACTCGATGATGAGTCGTCGACAGCCGGCAAAGAATCGTGTGGCGCAGCAGCGTTAGAATAATTCAAGGGTTCCTGGAACCCGCGGACGGCGTACAATAATTCGCCGCGATATCCATTGCCGTAATCTGCGGCGTCGAAAGAGTCCCTTGATTCTTGACCTTAATTCGTTCAGACGTGGTTCCCATAAAATAAACGAGAACAATGATTCCTTTCCCCTCGATTCGCGTCGCGATAAAATAACCGTGAGAGGAATGATCGCCGGCTGGCAATAAAGTTTCCCCATGAAATTTTCGGACTCTATCGACACGTTTATCTTATCGGCGCGCTCAAAATGGCCGCCGTGGTCTCGTTCCTCGACGACTCAATCATTGAATTCGTTACATAAATTCCAAGCGAGGTCGACGCGATCGGTAAAATCGGCGAATTCTGCGAAGGTTAACGTTTGAAATTGAGAATCGCTTATCTTTCGTGAGAATGAGTATTCGGTATTGATCAAGAATTGATGATGCATGACAATTTCAGAAATTTGTCGGCTGTCGGATTATTGTTTATGAGTGTTCGATTTCTTAGATATTGAAAAATTGGAAGTTGTAATGATTGAGAGATCAAAGGATTTGATAGATTAAGAGATTGTAATAGATTCTGGTTTTGCAACAGGTACGAACATCGTGTAAGATTCATTAGAGTTCGGCAACTGTCCGATTTCACGTAAATTTCAATTAGTCCCCCCATTAACCCTTCCCCGACATCGTGCACGCCTATTAACCCTGATGCGGTCTTGTGTCGCAACACGAGTATCGAACGAATTTATCACTAGCCGCGGCATTTAATTGCGGTAATCGAGCTTCGCCAGCGACAGTAGTTCCATCTTCACTTTCCACGCGAAGCAACGATCAACTTCCGAAGACGAACACAGCGAACCTTCGGTTTCGGGGATCGATATAAACCGAGCGACAATTCTACGATTATTTTTAGCGCGGAATAATGTCGCGGAAAAAAGTCAACCTTCCTCGCGTCTCTTTTTATAAACGCCGTTGCATCGGTATAAATATAAATATTTTACGTTGCAGGCAACTGAATTAGCGGCTATATTTTCGATGGGATTGCGTCAGACCTTGAGGAATTAACTTTCTAAACGAACAATTTACATTCCGCGCCATCCTCCGACACACCCTTCGGTAACATCATTCGATACGCGATTATGTGCATATTATTGCAGTAAATACAAGTACAATTCGCTTCAAATCATCTGTGTCGTCTAAGCAAGCAAACAGTTCAGGCTCGTAATAGCCCTGAGACGAATCTGGGAAATTAGCAGACACATTCCGTGCCTCGGGACAGCGCGAGGCGCCATTGTAACAAGGACAACGCCCTCGGAGGATCGATGAAAATCATCGGAAGATTTCCACCGAGGGAAAAACGACAAGTCGACGATCTCGTCAGCGGACGAGAGCGATTTCACTGAGCGACAACGCGAACAACATTGTCGGGTCATCAATTCTGTAGTACATGTTGCTGTTGGACGCGGTTCAATTTCTCTGAACGAAAAAGATCGACGAGCTCGATTCGTTACGCACGCTAGACCAAGAGAGCCAGCGTTCGCCGGTGTCCCCGAAAGAAAATAAAGGGGAGAAACGAGATATCCCGAAAGAATCTGTAAACGTCGCTAAACATCCAGCGAGGCGAGGGAGAAAAAAGAGAATGTTTAACGACGGGCGGATAAGACGGCTATAAATAATTAACAGAGCGTTCGCCAGAATTTGAAACATCCGACGTGTGCTACTTTCGACGGAGAGTGATTATCGGGGATTTAATTATTTAATAAATGCTTCCGAGTCACGAGTAATATTTCACTCTAGATTATTCCCTAGTTTATGATACGAGTCGCCAATAAAACGGGACAATTATTTTCATATAATTGGCCGGTGGCGCGCGTTCGGTCGCGCTCGCCAGCCGCGGCCGCTTGGCGTTGATCGTTAAAGTGGAAACAAGTTGAACGAAATCCAACCGCTGTAGCAGATGCTCGGCCGGCATGTTGACAATCCGGTGTCACGTCATCATCAACCGTGCCCGGTGTGCCGCGATCCTCGCCTGTAATCGATCCACGTCGCCCGAGACGATCGAAAGTCAGCGGAATCGCGGAAAGCCGAGGCGGCGATCCCCTCTACTGCGTGCTGGAAATTTTAATCTCCTCGCGGTAATTATCCATCGGGAATAATTGAGGATAGAACGTTAAAGACACTCAGCCTCCGAGTACGAAAGTGTAAAAATGTCAAGAGTACAATTTTGCAGTTGGTAGGACGTTATTTATTAACGAAATATATCAAAAGTTATTTTCCCCGATCCGCCGCGCCAGACGCGGAGAATATTTATAAAGTGTCGTTGTAAATCGCACGGGTAATGAGGGTTCTAAATTTCCCGTGGCATAAATCACGGGAAAATAAACTGCGACCGTGACTCTTCGACTCGGGCCGATGGAAAATGAAATTCACCGAGAAAAAAATTGTTTCATTGTTGTCTCGCGTCGCGACCCCGTTCACCCTTGTAATCCAGTCAGAGCTACAGAGGAGAAAGGGATGAGAGAAAAAAGAAGAAAGCGAAACAGTCGATTTCCATCGCGAGAGAACGATAAAAAAACGTGGGAGGGAGAGCGGAACGCGCCGCGGGGGATGAAAGGGACCCCCGTCTAATTAATTTGTTCGAGTGACTCACCCTCGGCTCTTCAGGTTCCTCCCTCCTGACGTTCTGCAAGAGGACGCTGCCCATCTGAACCTGAAGATTCTGCTGCAACAGTTGCGCCAGTTGCGGGTTCTGCGAGAGGATCGCTGGGTTTTGTTGCAGCAGCTGAGCCAATGCTGGATTCTGCACCAGAATTTGCCCGAGAGGCGAGTTTGCCATCGCGTGAAGGGATTGTTGTTGTTGGTGTTGCTGTTGGTGTTGTTGTTGTTGCTGCTGCTGCTGTTGTTGTTGCTGTTGCTGCTGTTGGTGTTGTTGGTCTTGGTGCTGTTGCTGTTGGTGTTGTTGCTGCTGGAGACTGGGCGAGTTCGCATTTGACGTCTGACAGGACTGAGACAGGTTGCTGGGAGGTGGATTATGTCGGGGCGGACTCTGAGGGGTGTGTGGCGGCGTAGGAGGGCTTCCTGGCGCCATCGATGAAGCATCCTTTTCTTCTTTCACTTTCACCTTCCCTGTAAATGACAATCGGTTGGTTTTGTTAATGGAAATTACTGATATTTCGAATGTTCGGTCTGTATCTTAATGTTTAATGTTTTGGAGTTTTTAAGGTAGCTAAATATTTCAGTGGAAAACTAATTTGTAGAACTGATAATTGGTAATTATCAAGTAATTTATCTAGATTTAATTCTGTATAATTATTAATTATCACCGTCTTCGCGTGATCTTTGATACATGAAATTAATCGACACTATTCAACATCGTTCTTTTATTCTTTTAATTTGTAAAAGATCTACTTTTGTAAAGATCTACTTTAATTTGTAAAGTGTCTACTTCCTTAAACAGGTATCTCCTTGCTTTACCTACCCCTAGCTCCCGGGGAAAAATAATCGAACATTACTCTCGCACGGGCTCCGCGACGAGACTGACCAAGAATCTCGGATTTTCCAAGATTTCGGAAAGTGTCGGAGAAAGAGTGGGGAACCAGGCTCCGATTGGTCGGAAGCCGGAAGACCAAGCAACGAATGGGAACACGCCGACTTCGCGTCGGGAAAAAAACTGACTGAGGGGAAGTTCTTGCTGGTGAAGGACTAGACACGTGAAATTGAGACGTCTCGATCCCCGAGAAAGCCGCAATCGACTGCGAGCAGGTACATCTGCTCCGGGTCACGGCGAATGCGTTAAAGCCGAGGATTTTCATCCCCCTTCGGTGATTCCGTTCCCAATACCTTTACAGCAAGACTAATTGTAAGGAAGAGAAACTTCGAACACGCAGAACTTTAGAGCTGCATAAATTTCCAATGCAAAGATTTCATTTCTACTCTAATTTATTTTTCAATTCCTACACCCTCGAGCATTAAATTCCTTATCAAATTCAAATTATAAACTCAAATTCAAAAATTAAGTTCCTTATCAAATGCAAATTATAAACATAAATACAAACTATAAACTCCTTTGATCTTAAAACAAGTCCTCTAATATTTCTAACTTTTCTATTTTTCTGTAGCGATGCATCAGGATGATAGTAATCTCTGACAGTTAAGAACCCAACGACTCTTCCCAAAACATCCCCCTATCTATCGAATCTACGAGACAGACCTGGCGCATCCGGGGGTTGAAACCTTCGGCGGAAGGTGCCAGGGCCGTTTTTAATATCCCCCAGGATTCAGGTAGATCAGCCGGGATTTATTCGCGCTGGTGGGATCCATGAGAACATCAAAACCCGATCTCGATGTTTCTGTACCTGCAGCCTCCGACCTGGCCAGTCGATTTTCGTGGCCGCGGAACAGGGGAGGTGGGCTTCGCAGAGAATGAAAACGGAGATTCGGAAATTGGGAAAGGGCTGAAAGGGTCTGACGTCAGCAACGTCCCTGGCACCCTACCGCCTATACTTCCACCGAAATTACGCAAACCCTTAGGCGTCATTTTTACCTCCGGTTTCCTTCGATTTCATCCCCTTCCAACGGGATTTTCCGTTTTTTTTTCTCCGTGGACTGGGCGTCGTTTAACGAGACGACGCGGCTGCCGCGTCGTCGATGAAAAATGACTATCCTCCGAGGTAATTTAGGAGACGAGTCTTGTGGGAAAGTGTTCCTCTTTTTAGGAACCGCTCTCGGGGGAGACCATGGGTGTTTTTTTAATTGAACGGAACATTCGTAGATTTCCACGGGATTTATGAACTCTCCCGAGTAGAGTTATCGCTTTAATTTCCCTTTATGAACTCGGGAATTGAATAACTGGAGGCGTTGGAATTTATCGATTTTCTGAGTCATCGTAGATCGAAAATATTTTAATCTCATGAATAATAAAGGATATAGACTCAGATGGACGACGCTTGTTTTAATCTTCGTTTCAGTAAAAATCAGGTTCGATTTTGGAACCTCTAGAGTCTTGTAAACATTGTAGATTATATTTGAATGTTTTCAGAGTGAAAGGGTTTATCTCTGAATTTCAAACTGTAAAGCCGAACGAGGCGCCAATCGGACGCCACGCAAAAAGGAGAAAGAGAGGGAAGGGCCGCGAGAAGTGACTTGAAATGATTTCGTACACGTTTCAGCGTTAAATGGATTCCACGGGAGATATTCCTGAGGGATTGCATGCAGGCCCGCGTTGTGCTTGTATATCCCGGGCCGGATCCTTAAATCGACTCGATTTTTAAGGGCCGACCCGCGGTGGAACCCGCGCCGCGGGGATCCTGTGTTTCTCTTCCTCTCGCGACGTTCTCCCTTTCATCTTTGCTCCACATCGGCCAGCGCCAGCCCCGCGAACAGTCCGAGGCCGATTGATAAAAATCAAAAGAACAGAGAAAAACGCGGCAGAGAAATGGCGCGCCGTGAACGCGCCTAGGGGGTTGGGGGTGGCCGGTGAAATCGAAACGCCTGGGAAAAGTAATTGCCACGCCCGCGGGACACGCGTTTCCACGAAAGTTCATTGAAATATTTTTTTAGGCGTACAAGACACTGTAACAGAGACCGATGCACGTCGAAAAGATCGAATTAATCAAATATATATACTTTGTGCGCGATCTTCCGGCCATTTTCTCGTTCAAGAAACGCTAGAGGACGTTGAAGATGGTTAATGTGCCTTGCAGTTTGATTTAGAGTTGCTTCATCTAATAATTTAACTGTCCAATGATTCAGTTTTGACTTTAATGCCCCATTAAAGTAGAATATGGAACGTGCATTCCCTTTTATCAGAAGACATTTAAGGACTTTAAGATATCCCGGTGTAACACAGAGAGAGGCAATGTAACAATTCGTTTATTGTCGAGCTTGCGTAACAGCTTTCGAGGATACCGTTTAGTTAACGCGAAAGATCCTACAAGGCAGTAAACGCACTTACAGAAAATCATCAAATCTTTACACGCCGTCGAGAGGGAAAATCCGCTTCGATAAGTGTCCATGAATGTTTCATCGCCGATTGATGTCTCAAGGAGAAACACGTGAAATCCAGCGAACAGCGTAACTACTCTTTAAATAATCCTTCATTACACCCCGCATTATCTGCCGAATGATCAATTTCATACCACTTACGGGCCGAAAATCCAGATCCATCGCGTAACGAAGATCCGTGACGGTGACACCCGACCCGATCGAGGTACCGACCGGCGGAAAAAAATCGCGCCCCGCGCGCCGCACCCATTTTTACGAGATACTTAAGCCTTTAAACGATCCAGCGGAGAGCCGGCGCGACAGGGAGCGCTCCGGTTTCAAAAAAACCTCGCCGGAGAAATCGGTTAACCCCCGTTTGTCGACACAGCCGTACGACGGGGGGGTCGCGCGCGATTTTTCTCAGGGGTTAAATCGACCGTGGCCCCCGAGAGATCACGTTTTTTTTCCACGGGGCTCGCAGGTAGCTCTCCGGCTACCTGCACGCGCGCCACCAGTAACCCGGAAAAGGAATGCCGGGGGGGAAAGGCAGGAAAAAAACGCGTGGAAATAAAATAAAAAGGTGGGGAACGGTGGAAAAAAGGAAAGATTACGCAAGAAACCTCGAAAAGGGGAAGAAAAACACCGAGCTCGCAGCCCGACCCTCGCTCGAACCTTCCCTCTCCGCCACCCTTCGCCGGTGGGGTAAGAAAACAGGGTAAAAGTGAGTTAATAGTCGGTAAAACGGTATTCACCCCGTGACCCGCCGGGGTTGCCGGCTCCTTTAGGCCTCGAGCCGTTTTTCTTCTTCCTCTTTTCTCACTACCCCGTCGTTCCTCTTCCGGAAAGGGGTCGAGCCGCAGAAGGGGTGGAAAGGGATCATCGTTTCCCTTTCGACGCGGTACGGGGATGGAAAACCCGAGACACGAGACACTCCTTTCGCTGAGAAATTTGAGTAATCGTTCCGGGACGTTCGAGTACCTCGGAAGCTGGGGATTCCTTCCACGTTTTTTCTTCACAAGGTTCCCTTTTTTTTTTTAAACGGTAGGGGTAGTTCTCGGGTATCGGCGTGAGAGAACTCGGAAAATCGGTAGATTCGCGAATCATCCTTGGAGAGGTAAAATTTCGAAATCGGAAGAAACGAGGGAATATTTGATACAGGGTGTAGTTTAAATTAGAATCTTCCGGAACCACCCTTAAGTTTCCACGGAGAACATGAAGCCTGGACGTTAATGAAGTTGAATAAATATAATTCTCTGAAGGAGAGGTAGTACGTAGATACGAGGAGAATCGTAAGAATGATGTTTACCAGAACTACTTTTTTACTGTCGGGATAATACAGTAAACTCGGCCCGTTGCGTCGAATAAGGAATCTGAAATCCGTACGCCGATGAAAATTCTTGGTGCCGGAGGCTCGCGTAAGAGGCGGAAAAAGCATCAGGACTAACAGGAGCGTGGAATTTTATACGTCGACGGTGGAAGGAGAACGCGAAATCGTCGGGTTTCGATGGCTCGCGCGAAAAACGATCGTTGTCCGCGGCGGTAATATCGCAATTAGCGATAAGTCCGGGGCCCGGCCGGTGTGTCGGGGACCCAGGCCACTCCGTTTTACGAGGAATCGCGTCGTTATTCGTGATTTAGGTATTTGAAACGCGCCGGGACGTCGGATTACGAGTCGGCCGGGGTCTCGGCTTTCTTGTTTCCCATTAGAATCGAATTTCGTGCGTATCGTCGTGTAATGAAACACGCGAGCGTTTATAGTATTCCTCGCGTTACGCATGCCTAACGTTCATACGTGGAAATCGAAACATTGGATTTCGCGATCGGTGAACAAACGAGACGACGTTTCCCACGGGACTCTTCGATTTACCCACTCGGCTCCGCTTCCTTTGTTTGTCTGCGACGTAACCTGACGCACCGGCTTGCTTCATCTCTCTCTCCTCTTATTTTATCATTACGCGACTCTTAATAAACGGGCTCCTTCGTTATACGGAGAGACAGATTGTATACAGAAAGAATTTATAGCGTTTATAAATTAACTGTGGGAACATTAGTTTCGACAGTTGTTCAGTTAATCTGTACTCGACTTCAAAACGAAATATTATGGATAAGAACATATTTATCTCTTCATACATCGGGAATATAAA